GATATCTTGTCGAGCCCTCTAACCACTAACAACTATCACTTACCTTCCTTCCTTTAGTCTGGTTAGAACCAATTGGTTTTGCAACTTAAATTTAAGTTAGAATTGATAAACTCTATGTGAGTATCATGGTTATGAGTACTCGCTTTCCCTTTTGACTTTAGTTAAAGTCAAATTTAGTTAGTTTCAACTTAGATTTATAGAGTTGGTTAATTTTGTGTAAGTATCATGGTTATGAATACTTACTCCCCTATGGAACCTTGACCACAGTCAAGAGTTCCTCATCCCTAGTTAAGATACGTAGATACGAGATGCAACGTCTTGGCGAGCATACTTAGTGTATATACCATAGGTCGTTACCTTAGCACCTTTTTCCTTAGCAAGCAAACAATAACATAACACAAATACTAACAAGAGGTTCCTGTAGAGTACTATGGATACTTAGGATGCTAACACCTTCCTTAGGTATAACTAACCCTCGAACCTTATATCTCTTAGCTTCGTTGTTACGTAGCGCACTTAGGATTTTTCTTCGATCTTTACTCTTTCGTTTGGATAAATCAAAGCTCGGTGGTGAACTTCATGATTTGTGATTCAAAGTAATCAATAGTTTAATATCCGATTCTCACCGCGACAAAGAGTTCAACTTGTACAAGAGTTAAACACTAATGAATTGTTTGAGAGTTGTTTTTTTTTGGTTTTTTGAATGGGATGGTTTCGAAGTGTTGCGATTATATCTTAGATTTCATTTGATATTTTTAAGAAATTTAAAAAACAATATACTATATTAGCTTATAAAATCACATTATTTAAAAAAAATTTAAAAATATCAAAACACATGTCAAAATATATATAATCCTCCAAAACATTTCCCTTTGAAATGCTAAAAAAAACTAACTTCCAAACAGATCCTAAGAAAAACGTCAAAAGCGTCAATAATTAATGAGAATGGAACATAACTTAATTGAGGAAAAGCAATCACAGATTAAAAATAAAAAAGCATAAGATTAAATCAAAAGAAAAGAAGCAAGCACTTACCAAGAATATAATCATTAAAAAAGAGAGGAGAGATGCCATATAGTTATAACTGAATAAATACTTTGCGTTATTCTGAGGCTTCTTTTATTGAATCATACAGAAAAGATTCCATTATCAATATATTTATAAATTTTCAATAAATGAACATAAGCAAGCAACAAAGATATAAGGAAATAGAAGCAATATGTCTTAAAATAAGTTTCACTTATGTCTCCTTATTGAACTAAGTCTCGAACATCTTCAATTCCACAGTGGACCTTGCATCAAGCAGATGAAATCCTAGATGCACCCCCTTTGACTGTGGCTCCTTGCAGATGAAATAACAACCTAAATATACTTCACAATGGCTTCAAAAGCACTCCATGAGCTTCTCCAACATTTCTTATCCATAACCATGAACTTGTGAATCCCAGATGATTTGATTAAACTCTCTTACTTGAGCTTGAAATCTTTGACAACATTCTCTTGAGATGCATACCTCTCTTGATCCCCTGCAAAAAGAAAATGCTATGCAAATGCAAATGCTAAAGAAATGAAATGAAACATAAGCCAAGTAGAAAAGGTTGAGCCAATTTTGGGGTGCAATAGCTTCCAAATTGACACTTTAGCTCACGATATTTCTCCTTTTAGATGGCGTCGAAATAGGCGAGCTAACACCCCCTTTGAGCCTAAACAATGTGAATCTCATTCTGAATTTTGTTTTCCTCCTTGCCATAAAAAGTAAAGAGCATTCACTTAAGGGTTGGGTAAAAATCAAGTTGGGGAGAATGAAAAAGAAGAATCGTAGGTTGCTATAACTTTTGAAAAAATTCAATCAAGCATTGAAAAAAATTGTGTGAATATGAATGCGAAAAAAAAGAAAAAGAAAAAGAATGCTTGCTTGGAAATGAAAAATAGTGAATGAATAAGTACATGTAAAAAATTTTGTGAAGGTTTGCAATTGAGAAAAAATAGTGAATGAAGTTGAAATGTGTAAATAACGTGTAAAGTGAATGTCTCTTTTGCATCGAAAATTTCATTTCAATGGCCTTAAAAATGCCCCTTGTTTGTGAACCTGACCAAGCTACAACCTTAAAGACCTTAGTGATCTTTTTGCTTCCAGATTTTCACTTTTTATTGTTAGATGTTGTATGAAATGGATTGTTATTGACATCGTATGTTAGGTGAGTGAATTTTTCCCCGCGGTTGCAAATGCGTAATTTCTTCAATCCTTATTCGAAGAGGAGAGATATAGTGATTCATTCTTGAAAAACTTAGTTGTTGATTGATGCATGGCTTAATATTTGTTTAAAGAATTTAGTTCTTGCACATTGTTTGATTCTCAACAGTTGAAACCATTGCTTGTTTGCACTCTTTGTGTTTGATCCATTTTATCCATTATTGGGTGAATTTTAGTCTTGGATAAATCCTCTTGTTTGAAATGAGAGGCATACTTTTCTTGAGGACAAGTAAAAATCTAGTTGGGGAGAGTTGTTAGATGTTAAACATTACTTTATTTCTCTATCAAAGGTTGACATCTTTCATTCTTTTTATGGATAAATTAATTAGAATCACTTATGTTTTGGATGATATGCTTCATTTCTTGAAAATCCCTTGGTTGCTTTGATTTGTAGAAAACATCATGAAGTTCGTTATGCGAAGCTCCTAGCGAACTTCCCCAGAAAATTCATCAACAAGTTTGCATAGCGAACTTGTCAGCGAAGGCCCCTGGGAACTTGGTACTGTTTACATAGAGGAGAAAGGGACCGAAACTCGTTGTGCGAAGAAGGTAGCAAATGGTTCGCTGGAGCAAAGGATTGTTCGCACAGCGAACATGAGGATATTTATCAAGGGCAGTTTAACTATTCAGAGGCTCCTCAGGTGCCTAATTTAATGTTCGCTAGGCGAAGGATCTGTTCGCAGTGTGAACAGGACAGATCCAGAATGTACTATATAAGTACTTTTCTTGCATTTTAGAATATAATATTATATTTTTCACATCAGAACACTATCTCTCTTAATTTCAAGCTTATTTTAGAGAGAGAAATACAAACCCTAAGAGGGAGAAGGTAAAATCTTTGATCTCTTGTTGGGTTTTGGATGTAATCTTTTGGTACCTTATGTATTCCATCTAATATATGTTTGTGAACTAGTTTTGATTCTCTATTGTTAATTATCTTCGATTGCTTATTTGTGCGTCTTGACAAAACTCTTTTCAAATTTTTGATCTTAGATTTTGATCTATCAATGAGCAAACTTTTGACATGGTTTTGTAAGTTGATATTCATTTGTATCTTCTATTTTATTGTGTTGATTAAGTAGCATGAGTATGATCAATACGGTATTGTGAGGATGGGTGATAATAGTCATGAAGAACGATGTTCACATCCATTTGGCAGATTAGTTGAATGCATGTAAGAAGGGTTAAGTGTATGTACATATTCTGATCATTGTATTTAATATGAAGCAGTCATTTATCTAATATGGGTGTCGTCTTTGTTTACCTGTTTATCTTTGATTTGAACCGCTATAGACATATACTCTTCTGATCTGAATCTAGGATGATTACCTGTTAGATTCTAAAATCTAGACATATATTTAGGCTTAGCATTTGTATGAGTATCAGTTCTTAATATTCTGTGTTAGTTTTGTTGCGTGAGAAATAATCTCTGTTGTGGGTGATACGTGAGGATATTAGACGAATGATTGAGTTGTGTTTAACATGATCAGAAGAATGCATGTGTTATCAACTGATGAGATCCAATCCCAATAAAGATCCGTTTATAATTCAATATTTACTTTATAATTTCCGTCTTTATATTTTCTGTCTTGATTTATGGTAACGTGAATCTTTTAACCAAATTTTCATAAGAAGCTTAGAAATGTAGAGACCGTTGTACGGTGTTCTTTCCCTCTCACCGATCCATGTGGAGACGATATAAACTCCGGAGAAAATTCCTTCAAAACTAAATTTTTGCTTCTTGCCGCTTTACTCTGGACAAATACTAACAAGAGGTTCCTGTAGAGTACTACAGATACTTAGGATACTAACACCTTCCCTAGATATAACCAACCCCCGAATCTTAGATCTCTTAGCTTCGTTGTTACGTAGCACACTTAGGATTTTTTTTCGATCTTTACCCTTTCCTTTGAATAAATCAAAGTTCGGTCGTAAATTTTAAAGATTTGTGATTCAAATTATTTAATAGCTTGATTATTTGATTCTCACCGCAACAAATGGTTCAACTTATACGAGAGTTAAACACTAATGGATTGTTTGAAAGTTGATTTTTTTTTTTTTGAATAGGATGGTTTCGAAGTTTTGGTTTATATCTTAAAAATTCATTTGATATTTTAAGTTTAAAAAATAATATAGCTTATAAAATCATATTATTTTTAAAATTTTAAAAAATATCAAAAACACATGTCAAAATATATATATATATATATATAATACTCCAAAACATTTCCCTTCGAAATCCAAAAAAAACTAACTTCCAAACAGATCCTAAGAAAAACGTCAAAAGCGTCAATAATGAATGAGAATGGAACATAACTTAATTGAGGAAAAGCAATCACAGATTAAAAAAAAAAGAAGCATAAGATTCAATCAAAAGAAAAGAAGCCAGCACTTACCAAGAATATAATCATTTAAAAAAGAGAGGATATATGCCATATAGTTATAACTGAATAAATACTTTGCGTTATTCTGAGGCTTCTGTTATTGAATTATACGGAAAAGATTCCATTATCAATATATTTATAAATTTTCAATAAATGAACACAAGCAAGCAACAAAGATTAAGGAAATAGAAGCAATATGCTTTAAATTAACTTACATTTATGTTTCCTATTGAAACTCTCTGTATAGTTCTCTTTTTAACAGAAAATATTAGTGGTTAGTGTGTCTTATGTCTCCAACCTTGTAATCTAGTGGCGTTCAAGGTTCACCATTAATTGTTTGTCCATTGCTGTTGAATATCAACATGGGAAACAATCTTCAAGCTGTTAATCGTCTCAGTAAGGGAAATTTTCCAGGCTATCATGAACAACTGGGAAGTTATGGTTCTCTTGATGTAACAAAAATAGAGCACGAGGCGGTAAATGGTCATACCAATGAAGTATTCGATATGATGAAATGGAACGCAACTTACACTATAGACAACTCAAAATGTATACTCGATCTCAGAACAGTTTCGAACAAAGATGGCAAAATAAATAGTGTATCCTTCCAAGTCAGTGACGAAATGTATTCCGATGGAAACATTTGGTTTGCAGTAAGTAAAGACACGAGTTTACTTAACTCGGCCACACCACCGATCTTATTAAATGGAGCCTTCAAAAATTGTAAGCAAAAGAATAACAAAACTACTAATGCAGCAGGTTCTGTCATTCAAACATGTATTTATCTTTATGGGAGTGGAAGCAAGAGAGGTTTTCTTGTGTTGGAAGAGACGAGAAAGAGCGGAAATAATGAAAATTCTTGTAAGGTAACTGTGGCACACTATTACGCAGTTAGTATTAGGAATATTTTCAGTCAAAATAAAATCGACATCGGTCTTTCTGTGATTGTAAGGATTGAATTGTCAAGTGAACGTGGTTTGGATATTTCAGTGCATGGCCCTGCTCAACACCCTGCTAGAGCTTTAAATTCCATGTTTAATGAGGTGATGAAAACCGGGATTTGGAAGGTCACAAAATGCTCTCATTGTGCTAATATGGTAAGGTACCAGGGTGATTCAGAGAGTGAAGATTGCGATGACTCTCTACCAGTGCATGTTTATGGTGGTAAAAGATATTCGCAAAGCATCATAGACAATAATGGTGTGGTTAATGGAAACAATAATGGTAATATGCATGTGGAAAATTTTTATTATATCAGAAAAAGATAGTATAGGTTTGTAATGTAATGTGTGAGACTTAAGTTTTATATTTGTAACATATACTTTCTGCAGTCCTTTGCTTAATTATATTATATCTTTTTGATAAATGTTTATTTTGAATGTGGGTTTCTTTGTTAGCAATAAATTAGTTGTTGGCATTGTGGTATTTGCTTGATAGTCCATTTTAAATCAATGAAGCGTTATTCTAACGCAAAGTTATTCAAATGGAATTATAAATGGCATCTTATCATTGGGAATTTTATCTTTCCACTTGCAGTTTTCTCTATTTTTATATTTTTGGTGGCAAGTGTCTCTTTCTCTTTTCATTATCTCTTGAAATAGTTAAGTATTTGAGTAGTTTGATTCTTCAACTTTCCTTTTATCTAGAATCACTTGTCCTAATTGAAATTCTCTCCCATCCTATTATGTGTGGATGTTATTGGAAATTCACCTCACACCCTATGAAGAATTCCCTTCAATCTTGATCTCAAGATTGATGAACAAACCCACAATATGATAGTAATGGTGATAACAAATACAACAAGAGAGAAGAAGAATAACAAACAAGAAAGAGAAGAATGAGAGAAAATTGTGTTACCCACAAACTGTGAGATTTCTGATTTCTATTGAACCTTCACTTGCTAAACTCTACAACTGTGAATTCTGTTCTATGTTGAATTCTGTTCTATATTGAATTCAAATTGCTCGACATGCACAAAGAGAAGCAGCTATATATTCTACTTCGCATGATGACAATGCCATTACTAGTTCCTTTCTCGAATTCCAAGCAACTGGTGCACCACCTAACATAAACACATACCCAATTGTGGATTTTCGATCCTTAGCATCACTACACCAACTGGAGTCTGTGTATCCCACTAACTTGCATTCTTTTCCTTCATCACCTGCTGAAAACAGAATGTCATAGTCGAGAGTTCCTTTCAGATACCTCAGTATCCTCTTCGCCGCTGCTAGGTGTGATACCTTTGGCTTCTGCATGAATCTACTTACCATACCAACACTGTATGCTAAGTCAGGCCTTGTATGACAAAGGTATCTAAGTGACCCAATAAGTCTTCTGTATTGGGTTGGGTCGACATCATCTTCATCTGAATCCTTCGACAGTTGCAATCTGGGATCAGCTGGAGTCGAAGTTTGGGTGCAATCTTGCATCTCAAATCTCTTGAGTATTTCTCATGCATATCTTCTTTGGTTCATCATCAAACCTCTACCTGTCTTGTAGAATTCGATGCCAAGGAAATATGAGAGATTTCCCAAGTCTGACATTTCAAACTCCTCACTCAGGTCATGTTTGAAATCTTCGATCTCCTTCTTGTAACTCCCTATTATCAACAAATCATCAACATAGAGACATAGTATAAGCAATTATCCATTGCTTCTTCTTACATATACTCCATGCTCAGTTGTACACTTCACAAATTCCTTCTCCCTTAAGAAGCTGTCAATTTTCTTATTCCAAGCTCTTGGAGCTTGCTTAAGTCCATACAGGGCTTTATGAAGCCTGTACACCTTTCTTTCTTCGCCTTGTTTCACAAACCCAGCTAGTTGTGCAACATAAACTTCTTCTCCTAAGGGGCCATTAAGGAATGCACATTTCACGTCCATCTGACATGTGTGCCAGTTGTTCATATTTGCTAGACCAACAACTAACCTGATTGTTTCGATTCTAGTAACATGTGTGAATACTTCATCGAAGTCGATTCCTTCCTTCTAAAGAAATCCTTTCGCCACAAGTCTCGCCTTGTGTCGAGTTAATTCTCCTTTAGGATTTACCTTCACCTTGTAAACCCACTTCACATCAATTGCCTTCTTGCCTTGCGGCAATTCGACAAGTGACCAGGTATCATTGACTTCGATGGACTCCAACTCTTCAGTCATTGCTTTCACCCACTTCGAATCTTTTAATGCTTCAGCTGCATTGACTGGTTCGACATCTGCGTAGAAAGCATAATATACCAGCTCACCATCTTCATCGACTACATCATCTGATGTAATTACACATTCTTGCAACCTTGCAGGCATGTATCTTGTTCGTCGAGGTCTGCTTGAACCTGCTTCATCTGCAACTGGTTCCTGTCGAACTTCTATTTCGACTTCAGTGGCTGGTTATTCACAAGAGATTCTCACTGAATCCTTCTTGGCATTCTCAGTCCAATCCCATTCTTTAAGCTCATCTATGATCACATCCCTGCTGATCACTACCTGCTTATTTACTGGGTCGAACAGCGTGTAACCTCCTGTCAAATGATATTTTATCAAGATCATCTGATTCGACTTATCATCAAACTTTCTTCTCAACTGATCTGGCACATGTCTATGTGCTATAGATCCAAACACCTTCAAGTGACTGAGACTAGGCTTGACACCAGACCAACATTCTTCTGGTGTGATTCCTTCAAGCTTCTTCGTCGGACATCTGTTTAATATATATGTTACTGTTGAAACTGCTTCTCCCCATAATTCTTTGGATAGATGCTTTCCATTCAACATACTTCTCACCATATTCATGATGGTTCTGCTCTTGCATTCTGCAATCCCAATTTGCTGTGGAGTGTAGGGTGGCACCACCTCATGCACAATCCCTTCTTTTACACATAGTGTATGGAACTCTTTCGACACATACTCTCCACCACCATCAGTCCTCAGAATTTTCAGCTTTCGACCACTCTGTCTTTCGACCATCGACTTGAATCTGGAAAATACCTCAATCACATTACTTTTCTTCTTGATGAGGTAAGTACACAACTTTCGATTGTAATCATCTATAAGTATGGTAAAATATCTATTGCCACCAATCGAATCCACCTGGATTGGACCACATACATCAGAGTATATGACTTCAAGTATTACCTTCGACTTCCTTCCTGCATCCTTGCTGAAGCTATTCTTGTGTTGTTTCGACTGAACACACTCCTCACAGACTTCACTTGGAATGTCGATTTCTGGTAATCCTGAAACCATATTTCTTCTCTTCAGTTCTCGAATGTCATTAAAGTTGAGATGACCTAGTCGAAAATGCCATAACCACTCATCTCTGCTGGCTGCAGTTGCTAGACACTTGTGCTCCATCACATTGAGTCCAATCTTGAAGGTCCTATTCTGAGACATTAGAGCCTTCAAGATTAATCTACCACCTGTGTTGAGAACTCTCATCATCTTGTCTTCGAAAACTACCTTGTAGTTCTTTTCGACAAGCTGCCCTATAATGAGCAAATTACTTTTCATGCCTGGTATGTACAACACATTGGAAATTGTTGACCTTTTTCCATCTTTCCTCATAATCGGAACATCACCAACACCTTTAGCTGCTAGAGTGTTGTCATTTGCAAACTTCACTAAGTTCTTCGACGAGGGCTTCATGTTGACAAACCAATATTTCCTTCCAGTCATGTGTGATGAGCATCCTAAGTCCAAGTACCACTGATCTTGGAATCTTTCTTCATCTTTTGTTGTGACCATTAGCAACGTTTCTTCTTCTTCATGTTTCGCCAGCTTTGCATCAGTCTCTTGATTTCTCTTCCTTTCTGGACAGTCACCAGCATAATGACCATACTTCTGGCAATTGAAACACTGAATGTGGCTTTTGTCTGGCTTTTGACCACTACCTCTTCCTTTACCTGCAACACCACCTCTTTGGTTGCCTTGGTTCCAAGATTTCTTCTGATTCGATTGGTTTCCTCCTTTGTTTCCATTCCAGCTACTTTTGCCTTTTCTTTCCTTTTTCTGATTGCGCTTGCAAAGCCATATCTTTCGACTTTCCTGCAGTTCTCTCAGTCATCCTCTGTTCATGAGACTCAAGAGTCCCTTGAAGCTATTCCTTCGTCAACACTGATAGATTTTTTGACTCTTCTATGGCAACTACCACATGGTTAAATTTTAGAGCCAACGATCTCAAAATCTTTGAGACAACTGCTTTCATCGTCAGCGCTTCTCCACATACTTTGATTTGATTCACCAACCTTGTAACTCTGGTGAAGAAATCTGTAATGCTTTCATTGTCTTCCATCTGAAGCAACTCATAGGTTCTCTTGTGAGTTTGTAACCTCACCTCTTTCACCATCTCTGCACCTCCAAATGACTTTTCAAGAATCTCCCATGCTTCTTTTGCTGAATCAACATTACTAACCTTTTCAAAGTTATCAGGATCAACACACTGATGAATTATAAATAGTGCTTTATAATCCCTCTTCTTCAATTCTTTGTGCACTGCCTTTTCTGCCTCCGCTGCGTTCTCCCCAAGCAGTGTTACTCCGTTCTTCACAAGATCCCAAAGATCTTGATAACAGAAAATCACCTTAATCTGCTTGCACCAATTCTCATAATTGTCTTTCTTGAGAATTGGCAGGGTCGCCGGAAAGTTGTCGTTCGGATAGTTCATCGCCATCACTATCTTCCTTCCTTGAATCTCTTAACCGGAGCTCTGATACCACTGTTAGGGGAGATTTTTCAACTAGGTAGCATTGAACATTGTGTGACTTTTTCCTTTCTAGAGCAACACCTTTGTGAGAGACACACCACATACTCACCCAAAACCTTAAGGTGATAGGTGTGTGGATTCTCCCACTTATAAATGCTCAAGTCACCACATTCCTATCCAATATGGGACTATTATCCATACTACTCACACTTGTTAATACTTAACAGATGTCATTGTCATTTTTCTTTTATTGTTACATTTTATTGAGCATATATAGGGTCTACTTTTAGGGTATAGAATAGTTGGGTGCCTTTAAATTTGGTGTATTTTCTTTGTAGTTGTTTCGTGATATGTTATCGACTAGGTAGAATTTTTTAGGTGCAAATTTGTGTCTGGTTCTTATAGTGTGGGGTCCGATGTATTTTAGGAGGTAGAGTCAACCAATCTTTTTTTTTATTTTTTATGGGGTGTTTTCACCTGTTTGGTATAGAGTGTTTAGTGGATGGAATGACTTCCGTCATTGAAAACAAATGTTTTTTAGGCCTGACTTCGATATTGTACGTATTATGTG